TTATACTTTGGTTTATTTGTTTCTTCTTGATTTTTCTTTTGTTTTTTTTCTTCGTTGAGAGACTTGGTTTTCCTTTTGTTTCTTTGTTGGGTTTTTTACTTTTTCCAACTCATCTCTACTGGGAATCAGTTTCTTCGTTTTCTTTTTCTTTTTCTCCGTTTGCTTGTTTCCTTTCCTTTTATGTTTTTCGTGGTTTTTTATCAATTTTATTTTTTGAACTCATGTTTGGACAATGTACATTTTTATAGCACACATGAATTTTTTTGATACACGTTGAGCATTTTTCAAATATGAAGCATTTTTGTTTTAAAAAATACATGTTTTGAACACTTTTTCAATTTCACGGTAACCTTCTCCAAATGCAGTTGTACATTTTTTCTGAACTATGCATTTAAAAAAATTATAAACCTTTTTTGAAACTTTTAAACATGATTAACATTTTTTACAATGTAAAAACTTTTTTCGCACACATGATTAACATTTTTCATACATATGATTAACATATTCTACTTTTTTGTTTGACTTTTTTACATTTTTTTGTGCATGAAAAACATTTTCCACACACATGAATAACATTTTCCATACAAATGATTAACATGTTCTACATTTTTTGTGTGCATGAGTAACATTTTTCAAACACATGACTACCATTTTCCTCACAGATGAATAACATTTTTCGTACAAATAATTAACATTTTCTATTTTTGTGTTCACTCTTGGACATGTTTTGTGTGCATGAAAAATATTTTTCATACGCATGATTTACATTTTCCGTACACAGGACTCATTTTTATTTGATTTACACAAATATTTTTTTATAATGTATAAACATTTTTCGTACACATGATTAACTTGTTTTACTTTTTTGTTTCACGTTTATAAATTTTCATAGTGCATCAAAAACATTTTGTATACAAATTAATATTTTGAAGTTTTAATCTAAATTTGTTTTTTAATATACATATTTATAATATTTCGAAATATAAATAAATCAAAAAAACGAAAACAAAAAGTGAATAAAAAGTGAAAGACAAACAAAACGAAAAAGTAGCCAGCAGGCGAGCCGTGGCTACTGGGCCGGTGCAATCCGTGTGCCCCTGCAGGGCTCGCAGCAGGCAGCACATAGCCGCGCCCAATCGACCGAAATCATTAATTAATTAAGGAGTACTTGTTTCAAAGATCACTTCTACCTCCTCAGATTGCGAAAAATGGCGCACTACATGCACGTCACTTGTTGCAATCAAGGAGTTTTTTTCGTATATCCGTTTATTCAAAATATTTTATCTCTTAAATCGTGCGTCCAAATCTCAAACTGTTTTCAACATTCAATTCCCCGCGTCGAAATTTTCAAAATTAAATCCTATGTTGGTAGGTTTGACAAACTTTTTTTTCATAAAAAACGAACGGAGAAACCGAAACCGGAGCACTTCTTTTCCTTGTCAAAAAGAGGCACGGCCGTGCCTCTCGCGAAAGCACAACCGTGCCTCTCGCGGAAGAAAAAATAAATGAAAAATGCGTTTTTTTTCGTTTTCGAGAGGCACGGCCATGGAGGAAAAAACAGAAGACATGTTTTTTTTGAGAGGCACGGCCGTGTCTCTCGCGAAAGAAAAAAAAAGAAAAAATGCATTTTTTTTTGTTTTCGAGAGGCATGGCTTAGCAGTGCCTCTCGCGAAAACACAACTGTGCTTCTCACGAAAGCAAAATCGTGCCTCTAACAAAAGGAAAAAAAATAGAAAATGTATTTTTTTCCGTTTCCGAGAGACACGACCGTGCCTCTCACAAAAAAAATTGAAAAAAATATTTTGGTCCAAAAGCTAAGGTAGACCGATGGAAGACCAAAAAATAATAAAAAAAAGTTTAAAAAGTCGAAAACACGTGTGAAAAAATAAAAAGACAAAATTCAAAAGAAATGCCCAGCGCGAGACGCCGCGGCGGCTGAGTGCATGCCATTCAAATGATCATTGGAAGGCTTCCAAAGGAGTGCTCGCCAACTAGTCGCTCTCACTCATCGGGAAAAAAAACTATTTGCTCTCACGATCGACGGCTCGCTGGTGCTGCGTACAGGTGGGGATGGGCGGAGAAGTTTAGCAGCCGTGGGCCAAATCTTGATATGGACGCAAATACAAACGAAACAGAAGGCCCATGAAAGTTCCTCCTCTTCTCGTTGACCCCTAGCCCCTCTCTCTCAAACTGCCTCATCCACCTCCACCGAAGCGATCGCCGAGTGTTCGACGAGTGCCTGCGCGGAGCGGCGTCAATGGGTTCATCGCCGCAAGCGTAAAGCTACCCGCCTCGCGGTGTTCGTTCCCCGGCGCATCGACGCTGAAAGGTATGCGCCTAATTCCGCTCCCCTCTTCAATTATGTAGGCCAAACACCCAGCGTTCCAGCGTTTGATCGACGCCCTCGGCGTGTTCGGCAGAATGCCAGTCCGGGAGCTTCATCTTGTTTGGACCTTTGAACGGCTAGTTTGAAGAATTCATCGCACGTGAGATGGAAAGAATCAGGACCGGATGATATTTTTGCGTGTAAAATTTCCTGCGTTTTGGGGATCTTATGCTGTTCTCTATGGTTGACAAGAGTTTGCTCTTCTCATTTCTCAGCACTGAAGATTGGTCCATCGACTCATCTTGACACTAATGGACCGGGAACACTCGGCTTTGAAGAAAATGAGATTGGAGGACGCAGAGGATTCTGCGATCAGTCAAGTGCCTGCCACGGCGTCGAGCATGCATCAGCAATTGTTCTGGAGCCAGTGGCAGCTACTGGACTCCATTCTCCCCACGGGCGGTTTCGCACACTCTTACGGCCTGGAAGCTGCTATGCAATCGCGCATAGTGAACAACCAGGAAGACCTGAGGCTGTTCCTCATCCAGGTCTTGGACAACATTGGAAGCCTGCTGCTTCCATTCGTCTACTGCGCCAGTAGGTCTCCTGAGGCTGCAGCGTGGGTTAAGCTAGATCAGCTGCTGGACGCTACACTGACAAATGAGGTCGGCAGGAAGGCGTCCACGTCGCAAGGCTCGGCTCTGTTGAGGGTGGCCGCGTCTGTCTTCACTGAGATCCAGCCGCTGCAGGATCTCCGACGGACATTTCTCGGTTCCATGAGTGTGTCGTTACACCATGCACCGGTATTCGGGTTGATATGTGGGCTGGTTGGATTTGACAGCGAGACAACGCAGCGTGCTTACATGTTTGTGGCAATGAGGGATGTGATCTCCGCCGCGACGAGGCTCAATTTGATCGGACCGCTTGCTGCTTCGGTTCTGCAGCACCAGGTTGCGCCAGATGCCGAGAAGATGCTGCAAAAGTGGAAGGACCGTGATGTCTCTGAAGCATCACAGACTGCGCCGCTGCTTGACGCGTTGCAAGGCTGCCATGCTTACATGTTCTCTAGGCTGTTTTGCTCCTAACAGGCGAGGTTCACTTCCATATCTTTCCATCTCTTTCGTTGTACAATGTCTCCAAGCATACACAACAGAGGCTCAACTTCATGATACATGTACCATTTGTGCTTTTGTATTATTCTGATGTATTGAAACATATCTCCTTATTTCCTGAGAAAATAAATTAACTGGTTCATAGAGAGATGTATGTTACTCTGTATAAAGCATCTTTTATAACATGGCATATGGTTGATCGATGACTTTGTGCACTGCAATTGAACATTCACTTGAGTGCTGCCTCCTAACAAGGACATGATAAGCAATTGAGCAGTTTATTCAATTATCCTGTAACAAGGAGATGTTTAAATAGACCAGACATTTCCCAGGTCCATGATACACCCAGTTATATGTCTGGATAACCTTATTCTGATATTCCTCTGCTTCTTTCAGGTTGCTGAATGCAATTTGGTGTAGTTCTGCTCATGGTTTTACCTTAGAGAAGTACAGGACCCCTGGCTTTCCTAAACAACAATGGCATCAGAATATTACAAGCATCCTGAGGATAGATGCCCAGTATGATTTTTTATTTTACTTGCAAGCAAGATTGTACAAAAATGCCAATAGTACATTATGTTCATGTGTGACGCCTCTCTGCCATGTGCCATCTATTACACTCGTCATACATATGATACATCTGTCTTCGGCTTCACCAATTATGACATTGATATAATTATGCATTGCATATTACAAAGAACATTGCTTTCTTTTGCTCCATGATCCGAAGTACTGGATCTGTTGCTCCAGCTCCAGATTCTATGCTAAGTGCAACAGCAGAATGCTTGGCTTCAACGGATTTTTCATGCTCAACAGATCTGAACAGCTCGGAGAAGTTGCCCTTGCCAATCCTGCCGCAGCCACCCTTCTGGTACTCTTGCCCGGTCCCGTCCTTCCCCATGCACCCGATCCTTTTGGATCATCTTCATAACAAGGTTGGCCTGAACATAGTAGCTGATGCAGTTAGATTTTGAATCACAAAGAGTAGATAAAAGATAGCAAAAATGCAGTCTGAAGTCAGTAGGGCACTGAACCTCAAGTTACTGAATTATGGCATAAATACTAGTACTATATTATATGCTAAACCAAAACATTTGCAAACAACTGTGTATAGCTCTATGCTAAAATACAGTACACCATGACCATGCCACGAATTGTGAAGTTGGATATGTTGGCCCTATGCAAGCAGCTTTATTCCCCTTTAAAGCTGTCATGATTTTCATAAAGATGCATCATGTATGGATGCGCTAAAAAGAGTTTCAGTTGGATTCACAGCATTCAGTATAACCAAGGTTTGATACCTTTATGCACCTTACACATACACCATGTGATGTAGAACTCAAAATCGTTTCGTCTTTATTTTACTGGCAAGGAAGATTGTACAACAACAATGCCAACAGTACATTTTGTTCATGTGTGAGCCCTTCTTACATCTGTTACACTCATGATACATAACACGGATATAATTGCACGTCGCATATCACAAACAACATTGTTTTCTTTTGCTCCATGAGACCATGATACAAAGTACTGGATCAGCTTCTCCAGCTTCAGCTTCTATCCTATGATCCCTGAAGTGCAGCAGATTGCTTGGCTTCAAGGGACTTCTCATAATCCTCAATGGACTTGAACATCTCGGAGAAGTTGCCTTTGCTGAACCCACCACAGCCACCCTTCTGGTACTCTTCCCCTCTCTCATCCTTCTCCATGCACACGTTGGCCTGAACATAATAGTTGATGCAGTTAGATTTTGAATCACAGGGGGTAGAGCAAAGAAGCAGCTTGAATTTATTATCCAGGTCTTGGAGAACATTGGAAGCCTGCTGCTTCCATTCCTGTACTACGCCAGTAGGTTTCCTGATTCCGCGGGATGGATCAAGCTATATCAGCTACTAGATGCTACGTTGACGAACGAGGTCGGCAGGACATCGTCCACGTCGCAAGGCCCGGCTCTTTTGAGGGTGGCAGTGTCTTTCTTCACTGAGATTCAGTCGCTGCAGGATCTCCGAAGGACATTTCCCAGTTCCACGAGCGTGTCGTTTCACCATGCACCGATATTCGGGTTGATATGTGGGCTGGTTGGATTTGACAGTGAGACAGCGCAGCGTGCTTACATGTTTGTGACGATGAGGGATGCGATCTCCACAGCGACGAGGTTTAATTTGATCGGACCGCTTGCTGCTTCGGTGCTGCAGCACCAGGTTGTGCCAGATTCTGAGAAGATGCTGCAGAAGTGGAGGGACCATGATGTCTCTGAAGCATCAGACTGCGCTGCTGCTTGACGCATTGCAGGGCTGCCATGCCTACATGTTCTCTAGTCAGTTTTGCTCTTGACAATGAGGTTCGCTTCTATATCTTTTTATCTCTCTCGTTGTACAATATCTTGAAGCATACACAACAAAGGCCTCAACTTCATGATACATGTACGATTCATGCTTTCATATTATTCGGATGTAGGATGCCATTGAAACATATGCCTTTATTTTCTGAAAAAAATGGTTAACCGGTTCATACAAAAATGTATGTTACTCTGTTTATAAAGCATCTTTTTATAACATAGCGTGTGGTTGATCACTGATTTTGTGCACTGCAATTGAACATTCACTTGAGTGATGTCTCCTAACAAGGACATCATAAGCAATTGAGCAGTTTATTCAATTATCCTGCAACAAGGAGATGTTTAAATAGACAAGACATTTTGCAGGTCCATTTTGTGAACAACATGATGCATGATACGCCCAGTTATATGCCTGGATAATCTTATTCTGATATTCCTCTGCTTCTTTCAGGTTGCTGAATGCAATTTGGTGTAGTTCTCTGCTCATGGTTTTAACTCTGAGAAGTACAGGAAAAATGGCTCTTTCCAAAGAAAAATGGCACCAGAAGATTGCGATCATCCCGAGGACAGATGCCCAGTATGATTCTTTATTTTACTTGCAAGGAAGATTGTACAAAAATGCCAATAGTACAGCATGTTCATGTGTGAGCCCTCTCTACCGCATATCACAATTAAACATAGGATACATTGATATAGACATATAGTTGTGTGTGGCATATTACATAGAACATTGTTTTCTTTTGCTCCATGATACAAAGTATTGGATCTGTTGCTCCAGCTCCATATTCTATCCTGCGATGCAACAGCAGAATGTTTGGCTTCAAGGGATTGCTCATACATCTGTACAGCTCGGAGAAGTTGTTGCCCTTGCCAAACCCACGACAGTCAACCTTCTGGTACTCTTGGCTCTTGCCTGACCTCAGCCTTCTCCATGCACCCGATCCTTTGGATCATCTTCAACAACAAGCTGATGCAGTCTGAAGTCAGTAGGGCATTGAACCTCAAGTTACTGAATTATGGCTTAAATAGTTATCTGCTGAACCAAAACTTTTTCAAATAACTGTCTATGCTAGTATTGTACACCATGTCATTTGAAGTTTTTCAAATACCTTGGCCTTTTACTATGCAAGGAGCTTTACTCCCCTTAAAAGTTGTCACGGTCTCCATAAAGATGCATGATGCATGGATACGCCAAAAAAAGTTTCAAGTTGGATTCATGGCATTCACTGTCATATGGATTGTGTGGCCAAAACCAAGGTTTGATACCTTTATGCACCATACACACACACCATGTGGTGTAGAACTCAAATCGGTTCTTCCTTATTTATTTGCAAGCAAGATTGTACAGCAAAGCCAACAGTACATTTTGTTCATGTGTGAGCCCCCTCTGCCATTCATTACACTCATGATGCATATGTCTTCGGCTTCACCATGCGTCCCATATCACAAACAACACTGTTTTCTTTTGCTCCATGAGGCCATGATACAAAGTACTGGATGAGCTTCTCGAGACGCACTTCTATCCTATGATCCCTGAACTGCAGCAGATTGCTTGGCTTCAAGGGACTTCTCATAATCCTCAATGGACTTGAACAGCTCGGAGAAGTTGCCTTTGCCAAACCCTCCGAAGTCACCCTTCTGGTACTCTTCCCCTCTCTCGTCCTTCTCCATGCACCCGATCCTTTGGATCATCTCCAGGAACAACGTTGGCCTGAACATAATAGTTGATGCAGTTAGATTTGGAATCACAGGGAGTAGAGCAAAGAAGCGCTCGAATTTATTATCCAGGTCTTGGAGAACATTGGAAGCCTGCTGCTTCCATTTGTGTACTGCACCAGTAGGTCTCCTGATGCTGCGTCGTGGGTCAGGCAAGATCAGCTACTGGATGCTACGTTGACGAACAAGGTAGGTAGGAAGGCGTCCACATCGCAAGGCTCGGCTCTATTGAGGGTGGCAGCGTCCGTCTTCACTGAGATCCAGTCGCTGCAGGATCTCCGAAGGACATTTCTCGGTTCCACGAGCGTGTCGTTTCACCATGCACCGATGTGCGGGTTGATATGCGGGCTGGTTGGATTTGACAGCGAGACAACGCAGAGGGCTTACATGTTTGTGACAATGGGGGATGTGATCTCAGCGGCGGCGACGAGGTTCAATTTGATCGGACCACTTGCTGCATTGGTGCTGCAGCACCAGGTTGCGCAGATGCTGAGAAGATGCTGCAGAAGTGGAGGGACCGTGATGTCTCTGAAGCATCAGAAACTGCGCCACTGCTTTACACGTTTCAGGGATGCCATGCTTACATGTTCTCTAGGCTGTTTTGCTCCTGACAATGAGATTCGCTTCCATATCTTTCCGTCTCTCACGTTGTACAGTGTCTTCATGCATACACAACACAGGGCTCTAATTCATTCCTTGATATTATTTTCATGTAGGATGCCATTGAAACACGTATCCTTGTTTCCTGAAAAAAATCAGTTAACGGGTTCATAGAGAGATACATGTTACTCTGTATAAAGCATCTTTTATAACATGGAATATGATTGATCGATGACTTTGTGCAATGCAATTGAACATTCACATGATTGATGTCTCCTACAGTAACAAGGACATGATGAGCAACTGAGCAGTTGATTCCTGTAACAAGGAGATGTTAAAATAGATCAGAGATTTCACTGGTCCATTTTGTGAACAATACAATGCATGATACACCCGGTTATATGTCTAGATGACCTTGTTATGTTTTTCCTCTGCTTCTTTCAGGTTGCTGAATGCAATTTGGTGTACTTGTGCTAACAGTTTTACCCAGAGAAGTAGAGGACTGCTGGCTTTTCCTAAAGAAAAATGGCATCAGAAGATTGCAAGCATCCCGATAACAGATGCCCAGTATGATTATTTATTATTCTTGCAAGCAAGATTTTACAACAATTTCAATAACCTAATAGTACATTATGTTCATGTGTGGGCCCACTCTTTACACTCATCATACATAGGATATATCTATCTTCAGCTTCATCAAATACAACAATTAGTACTGGATCTGCTGCTCCAGCTCCAGATTTTATCCTAGGGTGCACCCGCAGATTGCTTGGCTTCAAAGAATTTCTCATTCTCCTTAATACTCCTGGAACTCCTGCCCAATACTCCTGGAGTAGATCTCAACAGCTTGGAGAAGTTGCCCTTGCCAAACCGGCCGCAGCTACCATTCTGGAACTCCTGCCCAATATCGTCCTTCTCATTGCATTCGATCCTTTGATCATCTCTAAGAACAAGGTTGGCCTGAACATAGTATAATAGCTGATGCAGCTAGATTTGGAATTTCAGAAAGTAGATAAACATACTAGCAAAGATTCTGTCCTAAGTCAGTAGGGCACTGAACCTCAAGTTACTGAATTATAGCATAAATACTAGTAGTACTATCTGCTGAACCAACTTACTTACTTACTTACTTACGAAGCCTTTTATCCCAAACAAGTTGGGGTAGGCTAGATATGAAACCCTTTCACGAGGACTTCCCAGGAGGTCACCCATCCTAGTACTACTCTCGCCCAAATGGGTTTCATACCCAAAAGACTGGCTAGTTTTTACGTTGGCTCGCCAAGCCTATCACAACCCTTAGATATGAAACCCTTTCACGAGGACTTCCTAGGAGGTCACCCATCCTAGTACTATTCTCGCTCAAATGGGTTTCATACCTATGGGACTGGCTAGTTTTTACGTTGGCTCACCAAGCCTATCACAACCCTCCTCCTTTACCCGGGCTTGGGACCGGCTATGCCTAGAAGACATAGGCGGAGTTGAAATAACTTTCTACTCCCTCCGTCCGGAAATACTTGTCATTGAAATGGATGTATCTAGATGTATTTTAGTTGTAGATACATCCATTTTCATCCATTTTGATGACAAGTATTTCCGGACGGAGGGAGTATTATACAATATGAAGTACACCAATGCCACGAATTGTGAAGTTGGATTCTTTGGCCTTTTACTATTCAAGGAGCTTTATTCCCCTTTAAGTTGTCACAATCTTCATAAAGATGCATCATGACCTTCACTATCATATGGCTCGTATGACCAAAACCAAAGTTTGATACCTTACACACGCACCATGTGATGTAGAACTCAAAATCGGTTCTTTATTTTATTTGCAAGCAAGATTGTACAACAATGCCAACAGTACATTTGTTACATGTGTGAGCCCCCTCTTCATCTGTTACACTCATCATACATAGGATACATCTGTCTTCAGCTTCACCAATTGTAACATTGACATAATTGTGGGTCACATCTTACAAACAACGTTGTTTTCTTCTGCTCCATGAGACCATGATACAAAGTACTGGATCAGCTTCTATCCTATGATCCCTGAACTGCAGCAGATTGCTTGAATTTATTATCGAGGTTTTGGAGAACATTGGAAGCCTGCTGCCTCCGTTCATGTCTGTGCCAGTAGGTCTCCTGACGCCGCGGCATGGGTCAGGCTATCTCAGCTGCTGGATGCTACGTTGACGAACGAGGTCGACAGGAAGGCGTCCACGTCGCAAAGCTTGGCTCTGTTGAGGGTGGCTGCATCTGTCTTCACTGAGATCCAGTCACTGCAGGATCTCCGAAGGACATTTCTAGGTTCCATGTGTGTCGTTTCACCATGCACCGATGTTTTGGTTGATATGCGGGCTTGCTGGATTTGACAGCGAGGCAACGCAGTGGGCTTACATTTTGTGACAATGAGGGATGTGATCTTGTTGGCGACGAGGGTCAATTTGATCGGACCACTTGCTTGCTTCGCTGCTGCAGCACCAGGCTGCGCCAGATGCTGAGAAGATGCGGCAGAAGTGGAGGGACCGTGATGTCTCTGAAGCATACTGCTTGATGCGCTGCAGGACTGCCATGCTTACATGTTCTCTACGCTGTTTTGCTCCTGACTATGAGGTTCGCTTCCATATCTTCCCGTCTCTCACGCTGTACAATTTCTTCAAGCATACACAACAGAGGGCTCAAATTCATGCTACATGTATGATTCATGCTTCCATATTATTCTGATGTAGTATGCCATTGAAACGTATATGCTTATTCCCTGAAAAAAATAAGTTAACCGGTTCCTAGAGAGATGTATGTTACTCTGTATAAAGCATCTTTTATAACATGGTAGTATATAATTGATCGATGACTTTGTACACTACAATTGAACATTCACTTGAGTGCTGTCTCCTAACAAGGACATGAGTAATTGAGCAGTTTATTCAATTATCCTATAACAAGGTGTTTGTTTAAATAGACCAGACATTTTGCAGGTCCATTCTGTGAACAACATGATGCATGATACACCGAGTTATATGCCTGGATAACCTTATTGCGATATTCCTCTGCTTCTTTCAGGTTGCTGAATGCAATTTGGTGTAGTTCTCTGCTCACGGTTTTAACTCAGAGAAGTACAGGACAAATGGCTCTTTCCAAAGAAAAATGGCACCAGAAGATTGCGAGCATCCCGGACAGACGCCCAGATTGTACATAAATGCCAATAGTACATTATGTTCATGTGTGAGCCCTCTCTACCACCTATCACACTCATCATACATAGGATACATTGATATAGTTGTGGGTCGCATATTACATGGAACACCGTTTCCTTTTGCTCCATGATACAAAGTGCTGGATCTGTTGCTCCAGCTCCAGATTCTATCCTAGGATGCAACGGGAGAATGCTTGGCTTCAAGGGATTGCTCATACTCCTGAATAGTAGATCTGAACAGTTCGGAGAAGTTGCCCTTGCCATTCCTGCCGCAGTCACCCTTCTGGTACTCTTGCCCTGTCCCGTCCTTCTCCAGGCACCCGATCCTTTGGATCATCTCCATAACAAGGTTGGTCTGTACATAGTAGCTGATGCAGTTAGATTTGAAATCACAGAGAGTAGATAAAGATAGCACAGATGCAGACTGAAGTCAGTAGGGCACTGAACCTCAAGTTACTTGAATCATGGCATAACTACTATCTGCTGAACCAAAACTTGAACCTCAAGTACACCATGCCATGAATTGTGAAGTTGGATACCTTGGCCTTTGCCTATGCAAGGAGCTTTATCCCCTTTTAAAGCTGCCCCGATCTTCATAAAGATGCATCATGCATTGCTGCACTAAAAAGAGTTTCAGTTGGATACAGATGCACCATGTGATGTACTCCCAAAGTTCGGAATTACTTGTCACAAAAATGGATAGAAATGGATGTATCTACAACTAAGATACATCTAGATACATTCATTTCTTAGGCCATGTTTGGCTTACCTCCGCTCCACAGCTCCACTCCTGTAGCGGGTGGAGTCACAGTGAGAAAACAGGGAGCGGCTGTTTCGTGGCTCCACAGCTCCCGCTATTTTGCGGAACAGGTGGGATTCCGAACAGGGCCTTAACGAGTAATTCCGAACGGATGGAGGGAGTAGAACTCAAAATCGGTTCTTCTTTATTTTACTTGCAAGCAAGATTGTACAACAATGCCAACAGTACATTTTGTTCATGTGTGAGCCCCCTCTCTACCATCTATTACACCCAACATACATAGGATACATCTGTCTTCAGCTTCACCAATTATAACATCGGATATAATTGTGCGTCGCATATTACAATGAACATTGTTTCTTTTGCTCCATGAGACCATGATAAAAAGCACTGGATCAGCTTCTCCGGCTCCAATTCCAGCTTCTATCCTATGATGCCTGAACTGCAGCAGATTGCTTGGCTTCAAGGGATTTCTCATAATCCTCAATGGACTTGAACAGCTCGGAGAAGTTGCCTTTGCCAAACCCGCCGCAGCCACCCTTCTGGTACTCTTCCCCTCTCTCGTCCTTCTCCATGCACCCGATCCTTTGGATCATCTCCAGGAACAGCGTTGGCCTGAACATAATAGCTGATGCAGTTAGATTTGGAAGCACAGGGAGTAGAGCAAAGATGCAGCCAGAATTTATTAGAGCACCGAACCTGACATTACTGAATTATAGCATAAATAATACTACCTCCTGGATCTAATCTTGCGCCTATGGCGTGAATTGGGAATATACGTGGGCTTTTCTCTGTGCACAGGGAGCTTCATTCCCCTTTTAGCTGTGGCAATCTTCATAAAGGTGCATCATTCATGGATTTGTACTAAAATACTTCCAATAGGATCATAGCACTCACTATCGTATGGCTCAGCTCTCTACCCTAACCTCAAGTTTTGACACTTCTCTGCAGCATTACAAAGTACAGTACTACTGTACTACAGTAGAACTCAAAATCAAATTGGAAAGATTGTGTTTTTACCTGTCCCCCACTGGCTTGGTGAAGATTTGGAGCAACACCCCTTGGTCGTCCCTGTCGACGAGCACCCCCAGCTCCTGGCATTCCTTGATCTGCGCCTCCGAGAGCACATCCCCCGCGATGCGCCGCACGCCTTCATAGTACTTCGGCAGCGGGGGTGGCAGGAAGTCGAAGCCGCCCATGGCGGAGCGCGCACGCATCTCCCTGAGCGTCCTGAGCACGTCGCTGCTGGCCACCGCGATGTGCTGCACGCCCGGGCCACCGTGGTGTTCCAGGAACGTCTGTATCTGGCTCCGGCGCTTGGTGCCGTGCACCGGCTCGTTGAGCGGCAGCAGCACGCCCTCGGAGTTGTTGGCGAGCACCATCGAGTTGAGCCCGCTCTCGGCCGTGCCCACGTCCTCCGTCGTGAACTCGGCGAACTCGTGGAACCCCGTGAACCCGGCGACGTATGCGGCGGCGGGGGCAAGCTCCGGGACGTTGCCGACGACGTGGTCGAACCGCGTCAGGCCGTAGTCCACGGCATCCGGGTTGCTCACGCCCTCGAACCCCGGCAAGAAGGGCACGTCCGTGTCATCCGGGTGACTGACGAAGCGGAGCACGACGTCGCCGTAGAGCTCGACCTCCGCGAAGCCGAAGCCGCGGCCGAGGTCCACGGGGCTGAAGGCCGGGCGCGCGCCTCCGTCGACGCTGGCGCGGAAGGCCTCGGCGGCGTCTGCGACGCGCAGTGCTATGGAGCGCACTGCGAGCCCGTGGTCCGCGGAGAACCGGCGCGCGGCGTCGGCGGAGAAGGAGGGCAGGGAGGCGGTGGCGGCGTCGCAGCCGTTCGCGTAGGGCGCGGTGAAGAGGAAGGCGAGGTTGCCCGAGCGGAGCAGCTGGGAGGCGTGCACGGAGTTCCCCGTGGAGAGGTCGGACCTGGCGGCGAGCGGCGCGCCGAGCGCGAAGGCGAAGCGGCCGGCGGCGGAGGCGGCGTCCGCGCACCAGAACTCGACGTGGTGGAAGGCGAGCGTGTGGAAGCGGTCGCTCCGCGGGTTGAAGCGGACCATTCTACGTGGCCGTGCATGCTCCGGCGTCACCGCGGCGGTGGCGGCGGCGCCGGTAGCTGCCGGGGTGGTGGGGGTGGGCGGCATGGTGTGTCTTCGCTTCTTGGTCGCGTGTGGTAGTGGCTCCGGGTTATCAGTTACGGGAGAGAAGTGGGGGTAATAAAGGGAGGAGATGGCGCCACGTGGGCTTTGGGGTTTAGTGGTGGCGGGTGGGATTTGTCTTTTGGCGTTTGGTGGTGTGGGGGCTCGAGCTAGTGTGATGGAGGTGATGCGTTTGCTGACTGGCCTAGGGTAAGGTACAGCTAAGTACAGCAAAAATATTATTATTTCCAAAAAAAAAGTACAGCTAGAAATATGGTGAGGTTCATATTCTCTTGGTTCGTACTACCTCTGCGCGGGTTTATTAGTCCCCATCAAATTTCGGGTCAAAGTTTGATCATATATTTGATTAGTAAAATGTTAATGCATGTTATTAAAAATTATATTATTAAACTTGTATTTGAATGTAGTTTTCAGTGACATTATTTTTGCTACATAATTTATATTTTAGTAGTTAAAATTATGATCAAAATATGATCTGAAATACGAGTGGGGGCTAATAAACCCGTACGAAGGTAGTAGAAGTGGTCATTTCTTCTTTACCTTTCTCTCTCTTCCTTCTTGGTTGAGGGTTGATCCTCATTTTTGGCCTCCTCTCCTCCTTGGGCGGCCTTGTCGGTCGCCGATCAGAGTTGGGATAGAAGAGGAGGGCGAGTCTCATGTAGATGTTAGTTTAAGTTGTGCTGAGGCGGGTGACGACATGTTGTGGAGAAGCTTGGCACCATCGCTTTTGAGTGACGCGTGGTGGAACCCTCCCCTTCTTATTTCTTACCCATGGTGGATGAAAGCTGGCGAAGGTGGATCAGGCGGCAATTTCGTAATAAGCTCGTTTGGCCTTCAGATCCAAAGATCGTTTGAGCTGCTCCTGCCTTCTCCCTTTGTCGTCGCGATGGTGGAAATGGTGAGGGTGCTGGACCAGCCTATGGTCCTTTCAGATCTAACGAGTCCATGGAATCTTTGCTGGCATCGGTGCTCAATCGTCATCTTCATTTTCCTCTGCTTCGACCTCTGTTCCTGGAGCTAAGGATCAAACAATTGTTTTTCTCCGGTGAGCGATTTGGGTGCCTAGGACGCATCAATGGTCTTAAATGGATTTGTGGACAATCTTTGACGGGCCCTTCTTTGGCCTCCAGAAGGGAGTGTCTTCTTTCCTTGCCATGTGATGGCAAGTTTGTGGCCGGAGATGGTGGCCAAAGCATCTTCAGCGAGGTTATCGGTAGATTTAGGACTCAATCGTGTTCTTTGTTTTTCCTTATAGGGTCCTGAATGTAAAGTCAAATGACATGTTCATCAGAAAAATCCTTTGGGGTCTTCTTTGAAGTGTTGTGAATATTTTGTTATTATAGTGCCAACTATGGGACCTTCTAGTCCCTTCCCGTGTTAAAAAAATCAACATTCTCTCTAGTTTTGCTCTACGAATGGCCTACATGGTCCAAAGGTTTTTCAAAGGAAATTTGAACAATTCTAATTCTTAGGAGTTCTCATAAGGGCATCTATAGCGGGAGACGCTAGGAGAGGCGCCGGGATCAATTTCCTAGCGATTTCCCCATCGATCGCCGGTTGGGCACCGGCCGCTTGTTCCTTTTCTCCCTCGTAAAAGATGGGTTCGCTGTTTAATTAGTGATCAATTAGCACCGGCTGTTAGCACCTGGCGTTGGGAGGTCAAGCGCTTCTGTATTTTCAAATTTAATCACATTTAATTTTTTTTCTCTATAAGCGTCTACTTAAGCGTCTCCCATTGGAGATGCCCTAAGTGGCTTGTTGATTTCTTATATTTTGATCTATACCAGATTTTTAGTAGGATTCAATTTTATTATATTTCATAGAAAAATTTCCATCCATTCTAACCTCATGTGGAGGGTTCTTTGTGTTTCTTTTTCGTGCACAGTCAAATGACTACAATCTATTCGAAAACAACAAACAAAAAAGACCATACATTCTCTCTCTCCTCCCCATGTGGAGCAGGTTAGTGCCCCTGAGGGAGTTCCGGATTAGGGGGTGTCCGGATAGCCGAACTGTCATCATCGGCCGGACTCCAAGACTATGAAGATACAAGATTGAAGACTTCGTCCCGTGTCCGGATGGGACTCTCCTTGGCGTGGAAGGCAAGCTTGGCGATACGGATATGTAGATCTCCTACCATTGTAACCGACTCTGTGTAACCCTAGCCCTCTCCGGTGTCTATATAAACCGGATGACTTTAGTCCGTAGGACGAACAACAATCATACCATAGGCTAGCTTCTAGGGTTTAGCCTCCTTGATCTCGTGGTAGATCTAGTCTTGTAACACACATCATCAATATTAATCAAGCAAGACGTAGGGTTTTACCTCCATCAAGAGGGGCCGACCCTGGGTAAAACATCGTGTCCCTCGTCTCCTGTTACCATCCGCCTAGACGCACAGTTCGGGACCCCCTACCCGAGATCCACCGGTTTTGACACCGACATTGGTGCTTTCATTGAGAGTTCTTCTGTGTCGTCGCCGATAGGCTCGATGGCTTCTTCGATCGTCATCAACGACGCAGTCCAGGGTGAGACCTTCCTCCCCGGACAGATCTTTGTATTCGGCGGCTTTGCACTGCGGGCCAATTCGCTTGGCCATCTAGAGCAGATCGAAAGCTACGCCCCTGGCCGTCAGGTTAGATTTGGAAGTTTGAACTTCACGGCCGACATCCGTGGGGACTTGATCCTCGATGGATTCGAGCCACAGCCGAGCGTGCCGCACTGTCACGACGGGCATGATTTAGCTCTGCTGCCGGACAATACCCTGGAGGCCGCACTCGAGCCCGCTCCGATCTTCAATTCGGAGCCGGCTGCGCAGATCGAGGACGGATGGCTAGACATCGCCTCGGGGGTTGCAACCTCTACGACGATAGAGCCGAACACTGACCTTGTCCCTCATGAAGCTCGTGGCTCCGAGGTGCCAGACTCCTCGCCAGACTCCGAACCTCCCACGCCCCCTCCGATCGAATCCGATTGGGCGCCGATCATGGAGTTCACCGCGGCGGACATCTTTCAACACTCACCTTTTGGCGACATCTTGAGTTCGCTGAAGTATCTCTCGTTATCAGGAGAGCCCTGGCCGGACTGCGGCCAGGACGGTTGGGATGCGGACGACGAAGAAATTCAAAGCCCACCCACCACCCACTTGGTAGCCACTGTCGATGATCTAACCGACATGCTAGACTACGACTCCGAAGACATCGACGGTATGGACGACGATGCCGGAGACGACCAAGAACCAGCGCCTACTGGGCACTGGAAAGCCACCTCATCATATGACATATACATGGTGGATATCCCAAAGGATGGGAATGGCGAAGGGGCAGCGGAGGATGACCCCTCCAAGAAACAGCCCAAGCGTCGGCGTCAGCGGCGCCGCTCTAAATCCCGCCAGAGCAAAAACGAAGATTCCGGCACCGGAGATAATAATACACCGGACAGTGCCGAAGACAACCCACTCCAGCAAGATCCAGCGCAGGAGGACGGAGACGCCAGCCCTCATGAGAGAGCGGCAGAAGAAGAGGTAGAGGACTACATGCCTCCCTCCGGAGACGAGGCAAGCCTCGACGACGACGAATTCGTCGTGCCTGAGAATCTCGTCGAACAAGAGCGTTTTAAACGCAGGCTTATAGCCACGGCGAATAGCCTCAAGAAAAAGCAGCAACAGCTTAGAGCTGATCAAGATTTGCTAGCCGACAGATGGATTGAAGTCCTCGCGGCCGAAGAGCATGAGCTCGAACGCCCCTCCAAAAGCTACCCTAAATGCAAGCTGCTCCCCCGATTAGAGGAGGAGGCGTATGAACCCGCATCACCAGGAGACAATACAGCGGACCGACCACCCTGTGGTCGCGACAGAGAGGCCTCTAGGCCCCTCAGTAGACCCGTACCCCGGCATCGCTCGAAAGGCACAAGGCCACAGGGGAACGCTCCAGACTTGCGAGATATATTGGAGGATAGGGCAAGACAATCAAGATCGATCTATGGATCACGAGGGCGCCCCATGATACGTGACGACAACCGTCGCCCCGGACACAGTAAGCCCGGTCGGGCCGAACAAAACAGACAAAGCTCTTTTGAGCTCCCTCGTGATATCGCCCAGTACAGAGGCGCCGCACACCCACTATGCTTCACAGATGAAGTAATGGATCATCAAATCCCCGAAGGGTTTAAACCCGTGAATATTGAATCTTACGATGGCACAACAGACCCCGCGGTCTGGATCGAAGACTACCTCCTTCACATCCATATGGCCCGCGGTGATGATCTTCACGCCATCAAATATCTCCCCCTCAAGCTTAAAGGACCAGCCTGGCATTGGCTTAACAGCTTGCCAGCAGAGTCAATTGGGAGTTGGGAAGACCTGGAAGCCGCATTTCTCGATAACTTCCAAGGCACGTATGTGCGACCACCAGACGCTGATGACCTAAGCCACATAATTCAGCAGCCATACGAATCGGCCAGACAATTCTGGACACGGTTCTTAACCAAGAAAAATCAAATCGTCGACTGTCCAGATGCGGAGGCCCTTGCAGCCTTCAAGCATAATATCCGCGACGAGTGGCTGGCCCGGCACCTAGGATAGGAAAAGCCGAAATCAATGGCAGCCCTCACATCACTCATGACCCGCTTCTGCGCAGGTGAGGACAGCCGGCTAGCACGCAGCAACAACCTCAGCAAAAATTCTGGCAGTCCGGATTTCAAGGACCGTAGTGGCAGGTCGCGTCGCAACAAAAACAAACGCCGCATTAACGGCGACAACAGTGAGGATATGGCAGTCAATACCGGATTCAGAGGCTCTAAACCCGGTCAGCGGAAAAAGCCATTCAAAAGAACTACTCCGGGTCCGTCCAATTTGGACCGAATACTCGACCGCTTGTGCCAGATACATGGCAACCCCGAAAAGCCAGCTAACCACACCAACAGGGACTGTTGGGTATTCAAGCAGGCAGGCAAGTTAATTGCCGAAAACAATGACAAGGGGTTGC